CTCGGTTGCTCCCATCTCGTTGCGGACAGAGCGCTGCTGGCTTTCCGCATCGGCGCATTGTAGCTCGCCCCGAGCCTGAAAGAAACATGCGGGATCTCGCAGAGCCACGCTGTCATTCTCATGGCCCTCGAGATGAGCTTGGGCTAAAGGATAACGAAAAAAACGCGAAGTTCATCTATGATCCTGCCGCCAGACCGCCCGAACCATAAATCTCATGAGGATCAGCTTGGAGGCGAGGCTACTGGGGTCCTTCCCGAGAACGGCGTTGCTTGCGTATCAGGCGCCTTCGCGAAACACCGTTTGTACAGCTGTAGTCGGAAAGCAAGGGTCGGCGCCGAGGAGCCCACAGAGGCCCAGAACAGCTCAACGTACTTCAGGAAATCGGGGTGTTCGAAAACGTGTTTGGGGATCGTCTGGTTCTCAGGGTTCATGGGGGGCTTCGATCGAAAAAGTAGCAACAACAGGATCGTGATCGGAAATCTTACGGTGTTCGAACGTTCCAGGGAGGCCCCGAACTGCCGAGAGGAGGTGAACCGATGTCAAAATCAACCCGGGCCGGGATACAAAGATGCGGTCGATGGCGGAGGTGTGTCGGCGGCAGCCGTTGTAGTGTGCTCCTGCGGATCAAACTCCACGAGCTTACCGAAAAGGGACTGACAGGGCGAGCGGCGGAGACGGCGCCACTCAGGAAGCGCGGGCTCTTCACCATCCTGCACCTCTGGAGGCACCTCAAATAGCGGCGGGTCCCTCAAGATGTTGAAATCACCCGTAACCATCACAAACGAACGTTTCTGGATCAGACACTGCCTGGAGGAGGTCGGATTCGATGCTGCTAGTGATGAGGCCCGATTCGTCCCCTGAAAGATTGTGACTATGCATGTTATAGTGAATGATGGTCCTAGCAGTGATTTCCCAGACTGCGATACTGTACCTAGGCAAATAGGGATGCGAAGAGTGCGTCCACGAACGAGCTCGAGTGAGTCCACAGAGGCCCCAAAACCACGAAGATGATAAACACGACGGAGAAACGTGACGACCCCGCCCTTGTTCAGCTCGGGGAAGAAATACGCATTAGCTTGATATCCTGCTGCTGCCACGTGCAGAAACTCCGAAACATCAAAATCGTTCCCGTGAGCCTCCTGGACGGCAATGATCCGAAACGCGCGGACCATTTCCTGGAGGCCGTCCCCCAATTCCTCCTCCTCCTCCTCCTCCTCCTCCTCTTCCTCTCTATTTGTCCTCCCCTTCCTCCGCTTCTTCTTTCGCCCCCGCGTGTTCCCCGAAGGGTTTCAACAACGACAAGGGAAACACGTGGGCCGATAGCTTGGCAGAGCTCAGGCCACGACACTCGGCCACATGGGCGACTCCAAAAGGCAGGGGGCTGCGGTGATTCGCCGTAGGCGTCTTCGATGCTTGTTGGCCTTTCCACCAGGTTCCCCGTGGGCTCTCGGCGCATCCCGCTGGTCTCGCGGTAAAATGAACATCGAATCAACTTGCTTCCAAGATTGCCAAGATGGCCCAAACTGGCCTCCAGGAGTCCAAGATGGTCCCAAGACGTCTCCAAGACGGACAAGCTGGCACCTACATGGTCCAAGACGCCTCCAAGATGCCCAAACATTGACCCAAAACAGCCTGAAGACGGCCCAAGAGGCCGCCAAGACGCTGCGATTTGCATGTGTCGATTGGAACGATACTACGTTTAGCCGCCAGGAGGCCCCCACTAGACCAACACCAACGACCCGCCTCTATATGTTTGAAATGCGTTCGCGTTCCTACCTCTCCTGGCTTCCGAAGCCCAGGACAGCCCAAGAGGCCCCTACGAGGGCCTCAAGATGGCCTAAGATGGCGGCCCCAAGACAAACCCAAAACGGCCCAGGGAGGGCCCAAGACGGCCCAAGAGATTCTCAAGGCGGCCCTCAAGCAAGAGCTGCAAGAGGTCCCCAACACGGCCCAGACAGGTTAGGCCCAAAGACGGTCACCGAGTGCGCCAGACGGCTCGAGAGCACCCTGAGACCGCCCGGCGGAGCCCATCCCAACGTGGCCAAGAGAGCCCGAAGGGGCTCCCAAGCTGGCCCACACGGCCCGAAAAGAGCTCCAAGATGACCCCAGAAAGCCACCTCCCAACGTTCCCCCAGCGATGCCCCCATTGGTTCGGGGAACTGTTTTAAGTCCGTGGGCGCCAAATGGTCCACGACAGTCAGCGCTGGTCGTGGCAGGCAGTGAGGTGCACCGGGAGCGAGTTGAGAAACGAAGGTAACAGAGAACAGAGCGCGAGGGGGGAAGAGGTAGGAGCCCGCTCAGACCATGAAAGCCAGCGCGGGGACGCCAAAGGAAATGTGCGTGCGAGCTACGTAGCATGCTGCGACGCCCTTTCGTTCGACACTTCCCCACACCGGCGTATCTAGAAGGGCGAGGGGCAGCGGTGACTCGCCGTAGGAGTCTTCGATCTACCGCGTCCGTAGCCTGAAGAGGGGCGCTGGCGTGCCAGACCAAATAGCTCTTTTTGGTCCTTCTAAAAAGATCTCGGTGGCAGTCGTTTCGACCCGCCAGTCCCCGCGGAAAGCCGCGAAAAAGGCATTAAAGGACCGGTGTTTCACGATGTTCCACGATGCCGCAAGAGTTTTCCAAGACGGCCCACAGAGGGCCCCAAGACGACCTCCGAATATCCCACTAAGACGATCCCAGAGAGCCACAGCACAGCCCTGGGGCCCAGAAGGCCAGAAAAGAGTCCCAAGACAGTCCGAAGACTGCCCCTGATGGCCTCTTCCTATAGTGCTCTCCCAATGGCTTTCCAGCAGCTGGGGAAATACGCAGCCCTCTAGGGTGGCCGCACTTCCGCGCGACATTTCACGACAAACGCGTTTACAAAAGGTATGGGGTGGCGCTGACTCGCTGTCGTCGTCCTCGGCAATACGCTTCTCTGATCTCCTTGCCGTGCTGTGTATGGTATGCCTGTGCTCTCGAGCCACCAAGAACGTGGCCGTAACTAAGAACTCAAGAACCCAAGAACCCTGAACCGAGTCCAGGAACCCAGTCGTCTACCGAAACGGGAGGCGAATTTTCACCAAATCCATCGACTTCGGCAGGACCTCTTCAGTGCACGTACTGGTTGGGGACCGCAGCGATGAGAAGTACCCGCCACCATACTCCCTAGCAGATTGGGGCGGAATATTAGCAAGGCTTTCCCACTGGGTTTCTTTTCTCGTCTGAGGCCCCCATCCCTCAGTAGTAGGTCTCATGCGCGCTGGTACCCCCCCCTAAACCCTTTGTTCTTTGGTGCCCAGACCACCCCTGGCGGTATCCACCGCCTCAAGGATGCCAAAGACGCCTTCAAAAACGATTCAAGACAAAACAATTCAGACAGCCAAGAGAACCTTTGATTGCCTCGAGAGGGCCCCGCTAGTCTTGAAGTGGACCTGAGGGGCGGTCAGTAAGCCTCCAAGAGACATCCAAGAAGCGCGACAAGGCCTCCGATATGCTCTCCAAGAGGCCTCAAAGGAGGCCGACGAGAAGACATGAACACAGAAAAACATGCTAGGTTTCAGACAGTACTGTCTGCCGCCTAGTCCTCATGACGAACCAACCCATACTTCCCCAATGGCCCCGAGACGGAGCAAAGAACGCCCCCAGAAAGCCCCGAGACGGCTCCAGGACGGCCGACGTGTAAGGTCCGATGGGATCCTGAAGCGCGCCTGGACACACCAGGCAAGGATTCCCCGCGCTGTTTCGGCAGAAGCCTCGCAAGCGGGAGGTGCTCTGTCTCTACGGCCCCCTCCCCATCCCGATCCCCATCCACCTCTCCACATCCTCCTCGTCACGTTCCGTCCCCTCCGCCTCTCTCACTTGCTCCTCCTCGTTGTCCTAATTGCATTCAGCGTCATGCTCGTCTGCGACCTGCCGTTCCTTCTCGTCCTGAGGGGAGAGGTCCGAGGCGCCAGTGCACCGCGCAGGAAGGAATGCACCATCCATGATAATTGCTGCGACGCCGTAGGCTCCGTCGGCGTAATGGTTTTGCACAACCTGTCACACAGAGCTACGCGTATGGTATTTCGATGATCAGATGCGGCAAGTCACCTGCGCGCTACATGTGTGCGGGGCGCGATTGCTGCCCCAATCGGCGGACGCGGTGTTTCGCATACACGGAGGCCGCGTGCCTCCAATTACCATGTGCAGGTGGGCAACGATAGCCGTTGAGCACCTGCGAAACTCGAGGCCCACCCCCGAGGGACGAAGTCTAAACGAGTGAGCGGGCGGCTGCGACCACAAAGGACGCCAATGGCCGGCTCGGTATGCCGCCAGCGTGTGCCAACAAGCCCCCGCGACACCAATGCCCGAAGCAGCTTGACAAAAGCGGGCGGCCAGCCCGAAGGCTGCTTGCCATTGAGTTCACAAACAAGTCGTAGACCACTGCAATATCTATCCAGCTCGAAAAGGTATGCACTTAGCACATGAATATGAGGTTACATATGCTTCTCTTCCTCCTTTTTCATCATCATCAATCATCATCATCATCATCATCATCATCATCATCATCATCATCATCATCATCATCATCATCATCATCATCATCATCATCATCATCATAATCATCGTCATCATCATCATCATCACCATCATCATCATCATCATCATCATCATCATCATCATCATCATCATCATCATCATCATCATCTTTGTCCTGACCTCAGGGCCCCGTAGACCCGGACACGCTAGACCCGGACACCCAACATCCCTCGAAACCAAATTTTCCAAACGGCGGCACGAACGAAATACTGCACTGCAACATTTCCAGAATAAACCCGGAAACAGGCCTCAAAAGCCTGCAAGACCCCACTAAACCCGGACACACACCCGAATCCTGCAGTGCAGCAAGCAAAACATGCACGGGTGCTGAAAAACGTGACCTTGCAGGAAAGGATGTCGTTTCCTTGGTTTTCCGTGTCCTGGTTCATCTGTGTCCTGGTCTCCGGGGGCCTGATGACCCTCCTCCGCGGAAGCTCCGTCTTTTTGCCCACGATCGCTGTTCGCACCGAGTCCGCCAGCTTGTTCGACACTTCCGCGGCGACGTTCTGCGGGTGGCAGACGGGGCAAACGGGGAGAAGGAGTCTGGAGAAAACAAAAGAGGGCGAGGAGGAAAAGGACGAGGATTGGATGATAAATAACACAACATGCATCAAATATTCTGCAGTACGACCTCCCGTTCCAAGCCCCCCCTTTTACACGTCCCGACGAGTGCTCTTTTCGACTGCGGGAAGCGCCCCCGATTGACATACAAACGCCCCGTGGCCTTGCCATTCATAAAGCCGCAATAAAACATACTACCCGTGCAGGGGCCCGAAAACTACCTGTGGACACGTCGGCCCCGACGTTCGGAGCGACGACGGTGAACGCCGATATCGTTGAAACGATAAACGAAGCCGTGGCCGACGCAAAAGTGGAATGGGAAATCGACCAAATAAATTGCGTGGCTGTTGCCTCGTAATCCCGCCCAACGAACCGCTCAACGGATTTCGGCCCGCCGCTTCGATGATGATGGCATCCGCAACTGCAGGGCCAACTGTCACGACCGGCGCGACTGCTGCTTTTCTGGGCGAAGCCAAGGAGGAATCGAAGCAATTCTCGTGGCCTCTCCTGAACGCCACCAGGGGGGGGCTAAATTAGCAGTTCGCCGAATTGGTTCAAAATCAGTTGGAGCAGACTGTGCATCACAGGTCACGAAGTCCCACGCTGGAGTACTGCCAACAAGGGGCAAAGTTCGTCCCACTCCTCCACGCCCCCCTGCTCCTCCTCCTCCTCCGCTTTTTTCCGTCGCCCCCATCCGCGCAGTCATGATTGGCATCGTGGTCATGGTCGCCGCCATTAGTGCCGTCATCGTTCAACGCATAATGTAATCGCCAGCGTTGTGCCAATTTGTCATTGATATGGGCTCTTCCTTGACCATGCTGATAGGCAAAATGTGGTCACGATCGTCCCGTAATTATCCTTCCTCACCTTCTTCCTGTAGTAGTCTCCTTCTCAGGCTTACCTTCAACGTGGGTTATGTACCCCTCAATGCCATGACTGAGTATGGTAATGTGTCCGTTAAGCACGGGCGAGCAAAGAGATATGAGGGGGCTGGCCGGTCGGGGGGGGGCGCCCGCGAGAGCGCGCGCGCGCGGGGCGGGCGGGCTGCGATCCTTTTTACTTGAGCCAACCCGCAACAACTGCGTCGAACTGCGGGTCAGAAGTGGGCCCGGGGGGGCGACTAAATCAACTCCCCCCGCGGCCGGCCTGGCGAGCTCCACTCGCGCGGGCGGTCGAGCCTGACTTAGGTATCGCCCCGAATTTTCACGAGCGTCTGGGCACGCGGCGCCCGGCAGACAGTTCCCCCACGGTCTGGCTGGCCGTGCAAAAGACGGAGGTGCATAGCGCCTGCGTGCGACGCCGACTCGAACCGCCCCTCATGGGCGTAGTTGAGCCGCAAACATTATTCTCGAAGGGGTACGTCGGCATAGCCGCTTTCCCCCTTCGTTCTCTTCCTCTCACCCTCGCCAGTGATCGCGGGGCCCCCGGCTGTCATTGCACCAACTGTCCGAGCCCCGTGTCCACGATGACCACCAATCCGCGGCACCTCCCTGCCGCCGGGGTGGAGGAACCTGCACTCCGCCGCTCCGCGTCGCCAGGCGCGCGCCATGGGCGACATGTCCTAGCCCCATCAGCCCGGCGTCGCGCTGCATCTGCCCCAGCGCGCCACGGGGCATCCTGCCAGGGCGCGCAGTTGGCGTGGAACTCGATGAGGCTGCCCCCGCACTGTAGGGAGTGCCCCACTGCGATGGGTTCTCAGCTCGGCGCCGCCTGGATTCCCGTTGATCATCTGGCGCTCGGCTGCGCGCCCCCTTTAATCCCTCGCCGCTTCTCTCGTTGCCCCGCCCCGCGCCCGCTACGTCGACCCCCGTCCTCGCTGCCTGAGGGCGGCCCTCAAGCTTCGCGGAATGTGGCTGCCTGGCACCCTTGGCCGATAGCTCGCGAGACGGTGCAGCGCCCACGACGTGGTCGGAGGGCGCGCCCGCATGCGTAGCCTGCGCCCTGGGCACAGGGGCCCCGCGGAACTCTACCTGTGGCCAATAATGCGCAATCTCCGCCGCCATGGGAGCCTCCAGACGGCGAGCGGCTCAATGTCCTTCGTTCCTGGAGCCGCCATGCACCCGCAGCTTGGCTCCTCTTGATCGCGCCCATCTGGATGAGCGTAGTCCTAGTCAAAGGATTCCAGTATGGAATAGCCATCCCCACTCATCCCCCTCCTGCTGATGCGTGGCCGCCACTCCTTCGGGGGTGCCGCCGCTTCCTTCCCCGTCGCCAGCGCGCCGAGGTGGGCATTCTGGACCCTGATCCACCTCTGAGCCAGCTTCCCTCGTCTTTTCGAGCTTGCATGGGGTTCTGCGGCGCAGGGAATTCGTCTTCTGGAGACGTGGGCAACCAAGCAAATACCGCAATTGTTTCGCGGTGCAAAACAATCAGTCTTGTAGAGCGTTTTCCCTAGGTGGGGCAATCCCCTCAGCATCAGTCTTCATCCACTTATTATGCGTGGTTCCCCGTGCACGATCAGCGTCCGCCCCGGTGCATCTCTTCAGCCCGGGGCCGTGGACATACCGCCCCCTGGATTAAAAAGTGGTGATCGACACTGTGCCAGGGAACGCCCCCTGGGTCTTCGCCAACCGAAAAAAAAACTCAAGCATCGACCGTCGATCGATCCCAAGTAACTCACAGACAGAGTCGTGGCCAGAACGGAGGAACAGCGACGGGGGGGTGGACGAGACGCGCGTTTGTTAGGACAGCCCAAGCGAAGGCGCCACTCTTTGGCGGTGTGAAAGGCGGCCAGAAAATACCCTGCGAGGAACTCTCAGGCGACGTCGCTGCCCCCGAGCGGCATGGAAATGGACCGGAACAATTTTTCAGGAGGCCCCACGCGAAATCGCCACTGTCAGATGCTGCGGCAAATTGACAGATCGCCCTGGAAGGCGATCTGATTTTTTTGCGGAACTCTCAAGCGGAATCGCACTTTCAGACGCTGACCCCATTTGGCTGTTATAATATTGCAAAGAAGTGAGAGATGCACCTGGAATTCCCGAATCGGCCCCGAGTCCAACATTGTCCAGGGGCCCCATGGCCTAACGGGAGGCCAGCCGCATCTTTCTCGATCCCCACGGTCTCCACTTTTTAATCCAGCGGGTTGTAGTCCGGACGAGCCCCCTTACTTAAGCCAAAACCCTCGTAGACGGCCATCGGCTCGATAGCATCGGCATCGGCAATGCGGGCCCCGCGCTGCAAAGTAGCCCGACATGTGGAACACGTCGGCACCCCGATCCGATTGCGGCAATCATTGCCGCGCAGGCGGTATCCGTCGCCCCATAAGTTCGGCGCGCATAGCGCGTCCTTCATCTCCGCGGAGGCGAGCTCATCACCGATGTCCTCGTTGGGCATGTGGCGCAGCTCGTAGCGCTGCCTTGCCCGATCTACGCAAGCCGAACCGAACTCGGAGTAAACTTGGAACGCCACGAAACGTCGGTCATAGACCAACGTCAGCGATGCCCGCGCGCGCAGCATACCCGACGCCGCGAGGCGCATGACCCGGTGACTGTCGCCCCACATGGGGCAGAAAAAGGTCGCCAGAGTGCCGTCGCGTTGTGCCCAGATATCCGGCTTCTCGAATACACAAGGCTGGAATGTGAGCGCGTGCGTCTCCGATAGTGGACGCGGGTCATCGAAGCCAAAAGCTCTGGCATCCAAATCCTGGCCAGCCACTGCTCTCGTCCATCCTCCTGGTCTAAGCCACCTGGGCAGCTCTCCGCGCGTTTCGACGCACTACCCGGCCTGGGTCATTTTCGACCAGCGTCCGCGCCACGTAGGAACCCCATTCGCCGCTCCAAACAACTTGCTCGTTTGGGGAGTTGTACGGTCCAAGCTTGGTCGGCAGACAGGTAGTGAAGCGATGCTGTCGAATCCCCTGGAGGTCGTTCTTCGGTGATTCAAGATGCCCGGTGGTTCGTGGCAATATCGCCCAAGGGATTGACAACGGCCTGACGGGGTTTCTCGCGGCCGCTTCGCACCTGGTGCGCATGCGTTTCGGGTCCATGACCCGAACGGATCGGCCCTTGCAGGCGCGAAACATCAGCGGCACTCTAGCCATGCGCGGCATCGCGAGAACTCCCGCGTCGGCGTTGTCGTCCTCCATCGGCTCGCGCCCAAAACTGTCTTCCCTGTCGCCAGGCTCGGCGGTCGGACCTGCGTCAGCGCTCCTCATATCCGCGCCGGAGATCTGCGCCGCGTCGGGGGGAAATTGGGCGAGGGCACGCATAAAGCGCGCCTGCGCTCTGTCATGGCCCTCATCGCCCAGCATCTCAGCGACGACGCGCGCCTCAATCCGCCCCCCTGAGCAGCGGACGCGGGCCGCGCCGTGCACCGCCAAGTTGGCAATGAGCGAGCCGAGGCGCCCAGCTTCCTCCACGCCCATTCCCGAGTGCCACGCCAGCGTGCGTCGTTCACTGACTAAACTCAGTGGTGTGAGGAGGAACTCGAGGGATGGGGGACAGCGCGGTTCGACTGCGTTGAAACGGGCACCCGGAAAACGTCGAGCTTTTGCGCCGTCTGCCGCAGCCAAACTACGAAGGAACTCAAATAATGGGTCGCCAATCAGTCCCCGCGCCCACTCAGGCGTCCGCTTCTCGTATCCCCTGTCTCTCCTCTCTCGGTCTTCGAAGGGCTGTGGGCAAGTGTCATGCCATGAGACTGGTTTTCTCCGACATGTTTCGCGGTGCTCTGGTTCTCTTCCCTGCCGCGTCGCCCCTGCAACCCCCTCGCCCCCCCCACCTTCCCTCGCCCGCGCGCAGCGCATGCGCGGCGCGCGCGTGAAATCTTCAACATTTGTCTACATACAGACACACGCATGCGCGCACTCGAATACACGCGTACACGCTAACAGCGGCAGTGCACGCCGGTCGCGCTCACTGCATCATGCACCCGCGACGCGCGCGCCACATGCTGGGCACCCACATGAGACACGCGTCAAAGTGCTGCCGCACACGCATCGCAC